CTAAAAGATACCGCTGCTGTTCAGCAGAAAGTGTTTATGTGTTAAAGAATCTCATTATAGGAATCACTGCCTGTTAGTGCAACCTTGTTATTACTCCTCCAACGTGCCAGCAGCGCAGCACAGAGATGGAACGGTGCATACTCCGGCTCTGACGAGACACGAGCCGCACACACACAAGTCTGTGCATGATCTGACAGAGTACAGTGAACAATAGGACGATGCTGTAAAACAGGATGGGCAAGAGAGCACGGCTCCTCCAGCACCAGAGAGCATGCAGCTCTCCTGAAAAGTCCAAATGGCTTTTGCAATGAGCGGTGGAATCCGCCTTTATGCTTATGTAAGAGAAAGGCCCTGAGCCTTTCTCCTTTCCCTAACACGCATACAAACACACTCAGCATAAACGTGGTCACATAGCCATGCATACACCATCAACCCATTTCTTTGGGAAGAATCAGCCCGGGGAAGCTCTGATCCAACCATCCGCTTCAGACTCAGGCAGGGACACTGCTATTAATCAGAGCTCATCATGTTCTCCCAAACAGCGGCAGCTGTTGGCACGCTGGCAGGTGAACAATGCTGAATGAACGCTGATGAAGGATTCTGGGTCGCCTATGGGTTATCGCGCAAACTATGCGTGTGTGCAGTTATTCTGGGCATGGATCTATTCCCAAGGCTTCTCCGAAATAAGGCCTTAGGTGAAATTACATGTACAGTGTGTTTGGCTAAGATATCGTTAGCTGGTGCTACTCGCTGCTAATCTAATAATAAAGATGTCAATGTAATGACTCATCTGTCCTGACAGATTTAATACTGAATTCTGGGTAGCAGCATGTAAAGGGCGTGTGTTCGAAGAGGATGCATCATTCAAACAGAGTCGCTTTGTATATTAGCAATAAAAAGGCAAAAAAAAAAAAAAACACACAATTTTAAGATTGTCTATCTATAAACAAAACTGCTATGTATATGTTTGAGATTTTATGTTCCCAACAGTTAAGGGGAAAAATGTGAAGCAAAGGAAATCTAAAGGCAGTTTTTTTCCACCAAAATGACCCAATTAATAACTGTTATGCCTAGTTAATATGGCAAAACTTTTATACCAGTTTTCTCCTTCGGGGAATCTTAAGAACGTCCCGATTATCAGGATGTCTCTTGAGTTATTCCTGCTGTGTTTGGTGTGTTAAGAGTGATCTGGTCCACTTCTTCTGATCTAAAATCTGGGATATTCAACATGTTGGATTGTCTTGACCCGACATCGCAGCGTGTACGGTGTCCCCTGAGGACAAATGAGCACGCAGCCTTTTGAACCTGGCCTGCAGACAATCAGAAAGCCAGGTGAAGGAAACACACAGGGGGATTCGAAACAAAGAAGACAAAACAATGGCCATGGCGCACTATAAAGTCTGACGGACATCAGAGACATTTTTTTCTATTGTGTTTTTCTCTGTTAGTCCATAATGTGTTGCCATTGCGTCTTGTCCGTCGGCCATGTTTGTTCATCTGAACTCACGTTTGGTCTAGGGAGGTTTTGTGAGATTTCCTGTCTCACATCTAAATGTTTGTGTGTGACGTTTTGCTCTGTCCATGCGGCTCAACTCCACAAACGTCACACCAAATCTGTTACAGGTACAATTTTTTTATCGCCACGTGTTGTGACTCTCAAGCTTTGAAAATCAGCCGACAATTTAATAATCTGGCCATGTGAACCAGGCATTGGCTTTCCATCACCCAAAATATTTATTTTCTGGTCTCCTTTGTTGTCTCCCAGAGAATCTGTATTTCTGCTTAGATTAAGTCACACACAGGTCACTAATAATGAGGTAGATTAGATTTTATTTAGGGGTATCAAAGTAAAGATGGCTGGAAACACTTGTAAACATTTTGAAAACGATGTATAATTTTCCTTTCACTTCTCTGTTATTTTTACTGGTGCTTCATATAATCCCAAAACAACATGTTGTTCTTTGTGTGTGTGAAGTAACAAAAATGTGAAAAAGTGTTTAAATAATTTGCTTTAGCTCATTTTTGGTGCTGCTCCTTCTTCTCCTCACATGGATAGAAAGAAAAACAAGAAGAAGTCCTTCAACTCAACTTTGCTCCTTTTCATCCATGCCTTGTTGTTTGGCCAACTAGCTCCTGCCTGCTGACTCATGTATTTGTAGTAACTGGATACCATTGCATAATATGATTAATACTGCAACTTAATCATATACAATTTCTGTTGAAAGTCCTAATCTGCATGAAATCCCTAATAAGACAACTCCCCTCCTTCTGGACAAGTTGACAGCAGAGCTTCGGGCGCAGCATTAGCAACACGCATCACGCAGGCCTCTTATCTGCACAGGAATTAAACACTGCCACTGCCCACATTTTTATTTATTTTTTTATTTTTTTAATGCAAAGTGCAGAATGGGACGGGACAGAAGTGGAGACGAGTGGCGGGTGTGTGTGTGTGTGTGTGTGTGGTGGGGAAGGGGGAAGGACACCATGATGAAAGTGTAACACCAGAGCAGAAATGGAGAGGAGAGAAGGAGGAGAGCAGAACTGGGGGAGAAATCCATTTAAATGAAAGGGAGAAAAGAGGCGTCAGCATTAGTAGCTAATCCACTGCAGTGAGAATGCTTTCTCTCTGCCTGCGGCCTCACGGCTTCAGTCGTCATCATAACAGGAAGACTGTAACATACACTTAACTGTACTCCAAACAGCACATCCAAGCAAGACAGCCCTGTGAGAGAAAACCATTTGCCTGCAGGGAAGCCAAGATATCTTGCAGCCCCATTTTTTTATTTTTTATTTTTGTTCACTGTTGATGTTTCTTATTAGTATTTCATGAGCGACTTCCGGATTTGTTCCACAAAAATAACAGTATCTCATTTGAATCTCAGTCTCTCGCCATTCAAGCTCGAATTCTTCAGTGTTACATGTCCGTGTTCGCAGCCCCCAGGGGAGGGCCGTGACAAAGGGAGCATCTCTCTTCCCTTCTCTCCCACCCCTTTTCTCTCTTTTCACCCACACACTTTCTCTATTTAGCTCATGCTTAAAAAGGATGCCTAAAGATAGAAGCAAAGAAGCTGAACGGGAGCCAGCCGAATGTCATAGCAACAACGTGCCGCGGTTCACAAATACAATTTAGATCAGGAAGAAGAAGAAGAAGAAGAAGGAAAAAAAAGTTATAATCAAAGTCAAAACGCAGCTTTCTCGTTTCCTCAAGGACGAAGCTTACTCGGTTTCAATCCAGAGACGTGGCAGCCGTGGAAAGCTGACAGTGGGGGCTCATAATCTGCCACTTCAACAGACTGCATCACTGTAGTGACAATGAGCTGCCTATGTTACTTAATTTACTGTCTGCAGTCGCCTGTGGATGCACATCACGAATTGTTTCAATGTAGAGGAAAGATTAGCTAGATGCTTTCATGACACTCTAGACATTATGTGTTTCCTTACATCACAACATACAGATGTACATTTGACAGAAACATAGAAACATAGCTGTTAGCACATTGAGAAAAACTCATTGGAAGCAGAGAATTGGCTTTTTTTGTGATTAAACAACAGAAGCGATATGGGATCTGTGCATTCAAGGTTTCATGGACAGACGACCCGGGCTCAGCTGGAGAACTGTTCCCCGCACCGTCATGGATGTTTTAGAAAATCTTTGCCTCTCCTTCCCCTGGAGTTCCCAAGAGGCCACTTGCACATCAAAGGATCGGCGCTGAAAGGCCCAGATTTGCTTCCTGTGTAGCATTACATCTACTGCAGCTAATTTTTACACAGCTGACAAAGACGCAGCCTTGTAGATGCACTGCTTCACAAAAATATTGACATCCTCTGATCTTTTTTCACATTTTGTCATATTAAAATCACAAAATTTAATCTAATTTATTGGGATTTCACGTGGTAGAGCCACACAAAGCGAAGTAAAGTGGGATGTGATTAAAAATGTAAATGAGTAAGTTATTAGTAAAACCTTAAAAGTGAGGCACAAAAAGACATTTGTTTTTCTGCCCTGTTTTTTCTGATACCCCTAAATAAACTTTAGTAGAGACATAAAAATATGGCAGAAGATGCTCTGATCAAATGAAGCCAAAGAATGAACATTCGGTCCTCCATACCAAATGCTGGCAGTAATACTGAACATCCCCCTGAACACCTTTGAAAACATGGTGGTGGCAGCATCATCCTGTGTGCATACTTTTCTTCAGCAGGCACACTAAAGCTGCTCAGAGGAGAAGTCACTCCTTGAAGAAAACCAGTTTGGAGGCTCCAAAAGACAGAACAACAACCCTAAATATAGCCACACCTACAAGGGAATAGCTTAGATCAAAGCGTAGTCATGTGTTGGAATGGTCCAGTCAAAGTGCAGACCTGAATTTAACTACTTTTCCTCTAATCTGAGTGATTGCTGAACTATTTTGCAAAGACAAATGGGTAAAAACAAACATAGAGAGGTAATAGCAATAAAAGATGGTTCTATTATTGACTCTGGAAGGATGAATACAAATGCAGGAGAACTTTACAAATCTTTATTTGGAAAAACAGTGAAAACCACGTGTCCTTATCTTTCCACTTCAATATTAAACCCTACTTTGTGTTAGTAAGTCACATAATGCTAACAAAATGCCTTGTAGTTTCTAAATGTAATGTAGCAAAGTACTGTGTAGGCTACTATGTGAAAACATTATTACTAAATAAGCCAATTCAGATTTCACCAGACATTTAATATTTTTGTATGTCAGAAATTTAAGCGCGAAAGTGACGTAACTCCTTCATGGTGCAGCATGACAGTCCTCAACATCTGCACCTTTTAGATGAATCACTTCCCTCATAATCTTATTAAAGACCCACTAAAGCCATTTTAGCACTTGCTTATTTTCTCTGAAACAACCTCATTGTGCTATGCTTGCACAAGCCAGGCCTCGGCATCATAAACCCGCTGGCAGAAACACAGACTAAATAAAGCTGCAGCTCTCTACAAGGTGATTTGAGGGGTGTGTCTGACTCACTATGTTGACCTGCAGTGGTTCTGACCCGGGTCTCAACAGCCTCTTCCGCCTGCAGCTGGTGGAGCCTCCGGACCTCAGGCGCACCGACGAGGACGACTGGCCCATGTCCACTGGGGTGGGAAGCGCACGGAAAAACGGGTCAAGAATTAAGAAAGTGTGCATAAATTTGCAAATTCATTGCTAGCAAGAATATGTGCAATTACCTGAAGTAGGCAGGAGCAAAGCCAAGGCGGTGAGAGTGCTGGGGGGAAGGGGCAGTGAGCGACACCGCTGCAGAGATGCCCTTTGCGGGGGCTCGAGTGGCGACACTCCCGGAGGGCGAGACAAAGCCTAGAGGGTACTGGGGTAGTTAGGACATATATTCCACATAACGCAACTGCAAATCACACAGTCACACACTGTTCTACCCTTCACCTTAAAAGAAACCTTCCTCTCTGCGTTGTCCCCTTTCTTTTTTATTTTTTTTTTTTTTGCTGTGAATATAAGTATTCCACATCCCAGCAACTCTATTCTGGTGCACTGGCCTCCATGCGTGCGCCGCAGCAAACCAAGAGAGACTATACATCATGCCGACCAAGGCGTTCTCTCAGGTTAAAATGAACTGACTCTGGGTTAGGCCAATGAGAGGTGAAGCTTATGGGAGCGATGAGGCAGAAAATTGGCCACTGAGAAAGACTGAAAATGAAGGATGGATACAGAGAAACCAAAAAAGACAGGGGAAGAAGAAAGGGGGAAAAAAAGGAATTGGTGAGACGGAGGCGAAGAAAAAGAGAGGGAAAATGTTCAGAAATGCAGGCCTCTGTAAATGAGGCAGAGCATGCAGGCATTGTTGCAACTAACAGTGAGCGGCATATAAATACCGGGTTAGTCCTGGGCTGCCCTTCAAAGCCTGGAGAGTGTGCTTGATTCATTACGGACTTGCTCTATATTTATCAGTGAGTTGGTGGAGCCCACGAGTGAGTCTTGGCCATCCTACTTTTAGCTTGATATATTCTCACATCTGCATATTATAGATTCTGCAAATGCATACTTTAAGGTAGCGTCTGATTTATTTATTTTTTAATTTCAGAAACAATCGAGCTTCTTGACATCTTACTCTGTGAGGCAGCTCCGTCGACTGGGTCTCTCTAGTAACACTGCTCTCTATGACAGAACAAGGCCTGGAGCGCGCAGCCGTCCGTCTCTGCCCTGGGGAGTGCAACATGGTGGCAGCTGGCCGGCGTCTCAGCCGGGGCAGGGAGCCCACCTCGCTATAGTGCGTGTAGATCTCACGTTCCGGGTTGGACCTCCACAGGTCCAGCACCGCCGAGGCCGGACGGGGACGGTGGAGCAACCTCCTGTGAGGCACAGAGGTCTTCTCTGTGCAAGCCTGGGCCGGGGCTGGTCCGGGCTGCCTCACACTGCAGCCTGTCTTGCTGGCAATCTGCTCACACAGCTGGGATTGGCAGAGATACTCAGCCGCTTGGCCCACATACAAGCGCAACAATGCATTTCTTGTGCAGGGAATAAGGAGAGTACGTCTGCAGTTTTGACAAGCTACGCTTCATATTTCTGTGCAAAAAATAAATTCCATCAGTCGACACTTTGTGTTTCTACTTGCAGTGCATGTGTGGGTAATCAGGTAAGAAAAACCACCGAGTTTAAGCGACAGACTAACACTTTTCTTTTTCTTTTTTCTTTTACCATGAGGTAATTATTAAGAAGGGTTGTAAATAATGCATAGGTTCATTTCATTACTTAATCATGATGAGGATCAGGGAATAAGTCTAAACAAAACTATTTTTACAGTCTAGTTTGCAGCCCTCAAACTAGATTTGGAAACATGTTTTGACACATCACTAAATCAAGACGTTCCATCATACCACAGGGGGGTTTTCTCAGTTCTGGTCTCGTCTGCTGCAGCTGTTAGCTGCACATCAGATATGAATAAATAAAGAACTCTTCATTCTGCATGAAGACTTTCTGCAGGTATGCGTGTACTTCATATAAATAATTATTTCCAGATATTTTTGATGGGGAATGCATGATGGAACAACAGTGCTGTGCCAAGCAAGAACTTAAACCCCTTAAGCTTCGATTGGTATCCACTTTGACATCAATACTTAAGTCATTTTCTACAATCTCATAGTCTAATGAAACTACTGATGAAATTTGGGTATCTGTGCACTCCTGAAAAGGCAAGATTTTGATTTATTATTACTTCTTTTAACAACAAGTGCATGGCTAATAGTTGTGTCGCTAACAGATTTGCTCACTTATCCATAGTTACCATGGACCTTTTGGCTACTTCATCAATGCTCTCATTTTGGGTGGACAGCCAGATGACGGCTCAAACAGCACAGGTTGCTTGAAACCTGGGAATTTGTTTCATAACCTATCCCTGCTTTAAACCTGATGATGCTGTTTGTTCGCTCACATTCTCTAAGAAATCCCAAAAGTCTATACAGGAAAGCTGTGTTTATTTTCAGATTATATCACACAGAGATTAACTCTACATGCTAGTTGGGTGATTTTACAAGGGATTGGCTCCACGGGATTTTATCCAAGACTGTCAAACTAAAGAGGTGTAAAAGTACAACAATTTAAAAACCATTTGTAATTATCCTTCTGCTTAGCAACAATGCTTTACTTTGTGCATAAAATCTTGATAAAATGTGCAACCTTTTAAAGGGGAACAAAAACTACTACAAGGCACCGTGTGTAGGCTCCTGTACTGCAAATTAAATAAGTTACCCATTGATATGATATGAATTTGTTTTTTTAAGTAGTAGTGGTTTAGAAACTGAATTTTGAAGCACAAATGTCTTAAGGACACAATTAAAAAAATAAAGGAACTCAGTTGAACTTTAATGCATAGATCTGATTCCCACCTGGGTGTAAAACGCAGGACCTTGCTAAACGGTTGTGGGACACAAGATTAGCACTTTTCCCTAAACAAATGCTCCTAAAGCACTTGCCTCTGCATAATAAACCCCTATGAAAGTGTGCTGAGTATTGAGATGTCATATCTCATTTAGTCAGAAGCTAACATGCCCTGACTCGTTGGGATGACTAGGAGGGAGATGACTAATTCTGAGAAGGGGCGGTCGCCGTTAAGAGGCGCTGACGTCACGGACCTCTGGGGCCGCTGTAGCCTGACACTGCAGGCTCGGTGGGAGACGCAAGCTTTTTTTGCAGGATACAAAAAGCTGGCCAAACGGGGAAGGACAAACTTTTGTAACATGCTGCTGTGTGTGTGTTTTTTAATATATATTTACTGTAACATCTTTTCTCCAACAGATGGGGCAAAAGGACAACATCAGGGCTACTGTCTCAAATCTATCCATTCACCCACTCCAGACCGTATCATAAAGATATAAGTTGCAGCTCTGATGCACTTTATATTCCAGGTTTCAGGTGATTTTTTTAATAAGCAGAAGAATGACCATGGTTAAGGCAGTTACATAAATGAACTTTTTAGCATTTGTGCAGTAATTACATGACACATGCCTCTGGGAAAGTTAATGAAGTGAAAAATGCCTGCAATGAAATGTGGTTATGGAAAAAAAAAATACACAGCATATTACACACGGATATGGTATTCTCTTAAAGAAATAGAGATACAACAACAGATTAACAAAACAAGTACACAACTTCTCTGTCAAATTTATTATTAGCACTTTTCAGGTTTTCGTTCCTTACCTTAAAAATTTCTTCAGTAGAATCTGAGGCTGCTACGCTATTGGTTGTGCTTTCTTTATCACCTTGTTGTGATTGGACATTCACTTCCTGTACTTGGTGGGAGTCAAGCGGAGTATCCCTGGAATCCTGCTCATTTCCTTTCTGTCCCCCTACCTTTTCCTCTTGACACAGGCAGCTCAGCTGAACCCTCTCAGCATCAGCTTCAGCCTCTGTGCTTAAACTTGAATCCTCAATATGATTCTCTACAATCGCCGTGGATTTGTGGTTTGTCGCGTTGTCCGGGCTCTGAAGGCCATTAACAGCTTGAGATCCTGAAGAAGCTCTAAAGGCTTTTGGGGCAACTTTGGGGGATTGTCCACCGGTTGTGGGCGCTGGCGTTTCACCGTCAAAGCTACTGGGATTTGAGGGTTGAGCAACGAGCGGCGACAGTTCTGTTGGTTGGGGTTTTAAAGGTCCTTCATTGTGGAGTGTGAGAGAAACACTGTGAATGTTGTCCACTGAGCGCTGTGGGGCCCGCGGGGAGGTCATCGGAGTCCTCTCTCCCTCCGGAGGAGAGAAGGACCGTGAAGTTGTCCGCCATTTTCTGGCAGATTCTGCTACACTATTAAAAAACTTAAAGAGACCACCAAAGTGTCCCTTTGTGTCCGATTGTTTCGGGGGCGGCGGCTGAAAGTCTCTGACACTCTCGAAGTCTACAGATCCAAAATCTGAGTCCATGGTTTTGTCCAATGAGGGGAGCTCAGAGTCAAAGCTTCTCTCTGAGTACACGGGGTTACTTTTCCCCAAGAGGGAAATCCTCCTCAGGTAACTCCACACATCCTTGTGCCTCCTCCCTCCACTGTGATGGGTTCTGGGGCTACCCCTAACACTGGGTTCCTCACAGTCTGCGCTGACTTTGTTGCAGCTGTTTGAGTTGCTATTGCTTCTCTTAGTGTATGAAATTCTTTCAGAAGGTTTACAGCCATTCTGGACAACAGTCTCTCCTGTAACAGCGGGCTGGAGGCCATCTATTGGCGCAGATAGGTCCAGGTCTTCAAACGAGCAGTCGAAGTCCACCGTGTAGCCGGCATACGAATGCCTCTTCCCTCTATTTCGAAGGGTGCTCTTGCTGGTCTGCTGCGGAGTGCCGATGTCACGGCAGAAAGACTCCTCGTCCACCAAGGAGCTGGTGAACTTGGCAGTGGACAACTTCCCTGTTTTTCCTCTGAACACGGCAGGGGATTTTAGCTTCTTAAAAGACCGAACTTTGTCTGCAAACGAGAGTTTAGGGATGGAAGCCTCTCCGGGGAGGATCATGGAGTGGGGCCTCCTTTCCAGCTCAGAGACGGCTCTCTTTCGGTTTAAGATGCGCCAGATGCCCCCCGTGGCACGGGCCCTCCGGTTGACCTCCTGTCTGTCCTTGACAGGGGTCTGAGAGGAGGCAGCTTGGCTCTCTTTCTGCACCTCCACGGGCCCCGGCCCCGTCTCCTGAATACAAAGACTGCCTGTCTCGTTCTCCACATCCAGAGAAACATTGAACACTCGGTTGACAAACCCATTAGGGTTGCTGCTCTCTGAGGCAGGGCTGTCTGTCTGCTCCATCCTCTCTCATTCTACAGTGTCAGCTATCAGCTCCGGTGAACATCATGTTTAGGTCTTCTCTCTCTCTCTCTCTCTCTCTCTCTCTTTTTTTTTTCAAACACCTGAAGGAGCAAAAACACATTCTTATTCAGCAATCTGACATTAAACTGACAACACTGTCATTTCATATGTGCTCCTTCAATTCTAACTTACACAGAAAAACCCAGAAATGCATGCAATGAATGCCAACGATATTACAGGAAATATAGGGGAGTAAAATCATTCTGACAACTGTGTTTCACCCAGGGTCAAGTATTCAGGAACACCTGATATGAAGATTATCACAGTGAGAGAGTTAGACTGTGACTCTCAAACAGGGACTTCTGTTTCTCAAGTCAGCAACAGCTAAGCCCCCCTTCCCATCATATTTGGTACCAATTATCCAAAGTAATTATTTGAGACACAGTCCCCCGTCCCCTGTTTAACCGGGAGGCTGCGTTGCCATGGAAACACTCACTACAGGGATGTCTGGTTATTTCAGACCTGCTTCTGCTGTGACATCATTGCACCACTTAGATAAGCTTCTTTTGGGGATGATGATGATGATGATGATGATGATGATGATGCTTTCTACCCGTCCATATGGTAATTACCCCTGTTTGGTAATCCCTGTGATGTATAGGGGGGCATCTTACGTAATCGAGGCCTTTGGCAGACGTTGCTTTTGTTGCGAGACTTCTGAAGCAACGATGAGTTTCAAAGTTCTGGCCTTTTAATCGGATATCACGATTCACATTTAACTTTTTTTTTTTTTACTGGAAACTTTTTTTAATCAATACAAAGTTTTCTACAAATGCAAATTCTGCAGTCATAGAGATAGGAATGGAAACATATATTAGTTTGATACAAAATATTATTTTTCATATTTGGTCATTTTAAAACCACAAGCTTTAGTTGTCTTTAGAGGAATTTTACATGTATTTGTATTCAGACCCCTCCTGAGTCTATACTTGGCGTATTTGATACCAGCTTTGTTTTATCCTCAAAAAAAAAAAAAAAAAAAAATTTCTGCTCATTCTCCTTCGCAGTACAAATCAAGCAGAATCAGTCTAAAGAGCATCAACAAATAGCCATTTCTTCCCATTTAGATTTAGGTCTGAGCTTTGACTGGGCCACTCTAACATACAACTCTGCTTTGAGTTTAGCATTTTCTTGTAGCTTTGTTTTCTTGCTGAAAGGCAAATCTCCACTCTGATCTTAAGTTGTTTCCTTCCAGGATTGTCCTGTATTTAGCTCCAGAGTCCCCATCCCTGTGGAAGATGGGCTTCCTGGCTGCTTCTCTGATTAATGCCTCTGTAGGTGGACTACCAAATCTGGGTTACTTTGCAAGTGTACCATACGCTTGCCCCTCTTGGAAGATGGATTAAGCAGTCCTCCATGGCATATTGTTTTCTAGCTTGGGCCCTGCTTTACACGACTACACAACTCTGCAGTCCCTGTCCTGTCAGCTGTGCTTCTTGGGCGTCATGCTGATTATTGTTCACAAATGTTCTCTATAAAACGTCTTCATAGGCCTTCAGAGAACAGCTGGAATGAAACTGAGATTAAATTAAAGCAATTTGACTCTGCTTAGCAATTAGGTGTCTTCTGAAGGCAATTAGTTGTGCTTTATTTTAATTAGGAATACCAGGCTGAATAAAACTGATTGAATATGTATTGTTTATATATATATATATATATATATATATATATATATATATATATATAGATAGATAGATAGATAGATAGATAGATAGATAGATAGATAGATAGATATTGTTGTTGTTTTTTTAAACATGTATTCTTTTTTTATAAATGCTACTTTGAGTTGGTGTAGCAAATAAAACACAAATTAAATACAATTGTTTAAGGGTTACCACTGCTTTTCAAAGACACTCTAACTTGACAACAGTATAAAAAAATACTGAAATTCAATAATCGCTTTTGGCTTTGGGGTGCCACCCCAAAACTGACACTGGTTGTTTCTAAGATTTGAAGAGAAGAAATAAATTAAAAGAAAGACTCTCTATACAGAGGAGCTTTAGGAGATTTTACTTATTGCTTTTCTGTATCATAAGCTATAGAACAAAAGAAGTAAATTTATATAAAAGCTTTCTTGGTCTATTCTATCAAAAGATTTAGGGATAACTAAGATTTTTTTCATGTACATAGCTACTTCAGAGAAATGTAAGTAAAGAAACTCTCATTGCAATGCCAAGAAGCAAACCAATTCAAAAACATAAGAAGATGTAAAGTCCTCACAAGATCTACAGAGCTCAGCACATGGTGGAAGCCATTCATACGCAACATTTAGACAACGCACAACCTAAAACATGTTAGAAAACAGGAGCAGTTTCGGAGCACTGGCCTTTAGAGTGATAGATCGAAAAGATCAACCTGAAAATGTCCTGGTTGATTTGAAGCATCCAATCATGACACGGGTGATAATCCTTCAAAAAGTATGTTTTTAAAGTCCAGGCAGTGGGATACCCTTTACTTCACTCGATGAAGACAAAAGCTGAGGGCATGAAAAATTCCCACAAACAAACTGCTGCTGGAACAGGAAGGGCTTGGCAAAGCATCACAAAGGAGGAAAGCCGTTCTTTTGATGATGTTTGTGGGCTTCAGACTTATGCCAGTCACGGCCTGCATGGGTTCTGCACAGCACATTACAATGGAAAATTTATATTTGGTTAATCTGTTAAAGTCACATTTCACCACAAATGTGCGACTATTCAAACTGTAGGTGTAAAAACTGTTCAACCGGTTAGAGTTACTTGCTGGAGATTTTGAGAGAGCTTCAAATTTATCATGGCAAAAGAGTTCATGCAGTTTAAAAAATAAAAATAAAAAAATAGCTTGTTGTAAAGCCAGAATGTAAATCTTACAAAAGTGTATAAAACTTTCAAGAATGCAGTTGTCTTAAAATGAGGAGACCTGCACTTTGTACTTGTTTTTAATGAATATGAATATTTCCTTTAAGGAATTAATTGTTGGCTCACTGGTTACCTTTTGAGCAAGCGGAGCTGAGTGCCTATTACAATAAAGATCCAGCATGGAGATTTGCTGAGGTGGCTGGTGGACAAATAGTTTGAATGGAATGGATTCCCGAAATTAAATTTGGACAGGCTCTGCTACAACTACTTTCAATCAGTTTTTAAACTACACACTTTATTTAAATCTAAAGATATTATCGCAGCTACTACTCATAAACGTTATTTAAAATTATACAGTAATATCCCATTAGTAATGTGTAGTACAGTTATTAGAGGCTATGGCTACAAAGTGATCAAAGGCTGTCTTTTCCTGTCACTGTTACAAAGTTACTGCGTAGCTACTTAGTTTTAACTAAACAAGAAGAATACAGTTAGTGTGTTTTTCTCCGTTTTCTTTTGGGCGTTAATTTTTGTTCTTATTTCACAGGAATGTTGCGTCTATAAACACTCTCGTTGACGCAATTTACCTACTTCAGTACACTCCCCAAGCACTGACACGGTCCCGTTTCTACCGAGGGCAGTTTTACAACTAACAAACATTAATAAAGTAAAACCCCGGGGAAGCGCGTTAATTTTAGCTAAACTAAACTCAGAAATGAAGTTCCAGCTGTGGACTCACCCGCAGCACAGCTCCGCCGTGTTCAACAGGGCATCTCCGCTGCTGTCCCGTAACGTCGTCAGACACCGCCTGAACAGTGGGTGAACTCAGGCGCTGCCTTAACTTTCAGTCCGCCTGTTCAAAAAAAAAAAAAAAAAAAAAAAA